CGCCAACAGAGCGTTGGAAATGTTCATTCGAACACGTTTTTGGTCTAACGTGAGCAAACGCGGCATCCAACGCGCGGACAGCTTTCTCATGTTTAAATGTTGATTTAATATGTGACAAACACGTTCTTTTGACATGTTCATAACCTCTGCTATCTCTCTCACTTTAATTCGGCGGTCGTCTAGCACCATTTGGTGAACTTTGGCGATGTTTTCGTCGGTAGTTGCAGTTTTTGGACGTCCCGAACGTTCATCGTCTCCCAAGCTCTTACGGCCATGTTTAAATTCAGCTGCCTAAAATTTCACTGTGGTAAATGATGGTGCAGAGTCCCCATACACAGAATCCAACTCATCTTTGATTTTTTGTAGGCGTATTGCCCCTCAAAAACAGATATTTAATGACAGCTCGATACTCGATTTTGTCCATTTTCATAAAAACACTCACATCAACTCACTCAAACGACAGTTACATAACAACTGCGCGTCCAAAATGGCTGAAACTTTGGTGAGTAACAGTCAACAGATGAACAACGAAATTCACTAGCTTTTATTTACGAGTGCTGCCATCTTCATGTTGAGGTCGGAAACTTTTCAGACCACCCTCGTAACTGCGCGCATAGAATGCTATAAAATATAATGTTTATCACTTTTTTGAACTTCTTTATGCTTAATTCTAAAAAATAATTGGCGTTGTAATAAATTTAAAATTCAATAAAATTCACATCGAGCGATGAGGCAACGGCGCGGCAGTTTAATAACACGAGGTACCAAGGTGTCCAGCAACCACCAATACGCAATTCAGTTGGTATCTGGATTCGTATCGGATTCTTTTGTACTTGTGCGTTTAAAAATTACTGAATTTTGCTTTTTGGTAAATACCTAAATTATTTTTAATACGTATGATTATTTGCACGACGTGCATCTATGGGTACTTTAATTACATATTTTTCAAATACCCAATTTGATCAAAAGTTAAGTTCCTGCTTTAAGAAATTCATAATGACTAAAATTCGAGCTAAAATTTAAACACAACACTATCTGCGTAGTACAAAATCGATACGTTTTATTTTATTTATTTAAAAATTGTCTTGAAATTTACTAAATGTTTCACAATGATAGTTGTTTACATTTTTTCCATAGGACAAGTCTGCCGCGTTGTTGTCACGTTGTGATGAAACTCCCCAATAAATACTCGCTTTATTTTGAAAACTGTTAATCTTATGCCCCTGTATTTTACAACTTCTTTGTTCATTTATGATTACTCATACTCAATTAATAGCAGTTAAACTTCTTACACCCTGTATATATTTACGTCTGATTTGTTTCACAGTCTACATTCATTTATATAGAAAGGTACCCTTGTTGTTTGATGTCCTGAAAATAGCAAAAGACAATTTAAGGCCACACTATATATTTTTAGTAGGACGCTAAAGAATAGGCGTGCGAATTGTAAATATGAGTCTGAAACAAAGGAAATATGTAAAATGGAGAATGGCAAACAGATAAATGTCTGATATTAGTGTCGCCAGCTAAATCGAGACACCTGGGATTCTTTTTTGTCGCTATCGATACGTCCGAGGTTTCTTTGGTTACGCACAGTTAGATCAACGGAAACTTTTTATACAATTTATTTTACTAAACTTTACAAAAAGAAAGTATCCAGTTAAAAGAAAATTATTATTTATTAAAACCTACTAACATAGAAATTATAGTGTATCTTTCAATTTTAAATTAAGGATTAAAAAACACTAGCTCTATAGTGTAATGCTATTTTTTATCATCATGAACTAAAAAACTAAAATTAAAATGATTGAACTGACATTTATTCAAAAATATAGAAAAAATCCACTTTAGTACTGAAATTTAAATTATTTAATGTATTTATTTGACATATGCTGTAAATGTTAGATTAAATACGAAATATAATGTAACAGCATAGCTAAAGTGTATCTTTTACTCTTGTAGGACTAAAAAAGTATTTTAATTATTGACACTATTTTTAAACTCAATGGTTTAAAATAACTACAATTAAAATGAGCTAATCTACTTAATTAACATTTTTGTCACAAATATTTAAGTACTTAATTAATATTCTGCAGCGATACTAAAGTTAATCTCGAATGCTTAAATGCACTTTCTGCTTTGTGAGCTCTTATCTTATCTGTGTCCTAAAATTTTAATTATTTCGCGTACCGAATTGATGTGCCACAAATTTTAGATTAAGATACAGTAATAGTGAAACTAAAGTCTAGTTTTTTAATTTTAAATTATTAAAAACCACTTTAGTTTAGTAAAGAATTTTACCAAAATCAATAATGTAATAAATGTAGCCTAGCCTATTTTAATGTTCATCCGGAATCCTCAACTCGTGCCGCAGAGTATGATTTAGGCATTTCACGAGCGTCCTTTCACAGGATGTTAAAAACTAATGATACGCATCCATACAAAAAGATACTTTCTGCTCTTTATCCGGGTGACGCCGTGCAACGTGTACAATTTTGTGAAACGATGTTAGTGCGATACCAAGAAGATCCACAATTTTTGCAACATATTATATGGACAGACAAGTCAAAATTTACGAGAGAAGGCATTTTTAATAGACACAATACTCATTTGTGGTCATCTGAAAGTCCTCATGTTATCCGAGAAATAAACTTTCAAAATAAATTTAGCGTAAATGTTTCTTGTTCAATTAAAGATAAACAAATTTCTTACCATATCTACGAAGAAAATTTAAATGCCGGCAGATATCTCAATATTTTGCAAACGGTTGTGGCAGATTTTCTAGATGATATACCTTTAGACCAACTAAGGAAGTGTTGGTATCAATTAGACGGGGCTCCATTTCACTGTCACAATCAAATCGATCAACAGCTGACTGAAATGTTTGAAGATAGATGGATGAGACGCCTAGGACCGTGGAATTGGCTAGTGAGGTCTCCCGACCTCACTCCATTAGATTTTTATGTTTGGGGAGTAATAAAGCAAAAAGTTTATTTTACTCCCGTTGCTTCAAAAGAGGATTTG